CTTCCTCTCCCTCGAAAGTCACTCTCAGAAGCAGAAGGTGTCCGAGAAATTCCGCAACTGCTGGGGCGCGGCCGTCAAGTCCCTCACCTCTAGGTTGGTCAGTGCTCTCACTGAGGCGACGCTGCAGGTGAGTCATTCTGTGGGCACTGGGGCGACTGGTGTGGCTGTCGGGGTGTGATTCTGCGTTTGTTTGTTTGTGCGTGTGTGTGTGTGTGTGTGTGTGTGTGTGTGTGTGTGTGTGTGTGTGTGTGTGTGTGTGAATGTGTGTTTGTGTATGTGTGTGATTCTGTTTGGGTGTCGTAAGTTATGTACTATGTATACCTGCTTTACCTTTTTTCATCGTACCTTCATTCATTAACGATACTAACTACCTCCTCTCCCCCCATTCCCTTGTCCACCTACACAGGCGGAGCAGACGGAGGAGGAAGATCAGCCCGTGAACTGGTGCCGATGCTGCGCCACACTTACGTATATAGACCTGCGCTGCACGAGGGTCACCCCCGTCGGCTTCTCCCTCCTGACGCAGGCCCTTCCGCCCACCACCCAGATCGTACGCAACGCCCAGGGATGCTTGGCAACACAGACCTGAGTAAATGTTTGTTCTATTACCTTCGAGGTTCATCTGTCCTCCGTGTCAACGCATTCCATATTTTTTTCTCTCTCTTTTTTTAGGGTGTGTGTGTGGATCAGCGTTTTTTTTTCTTTTGTTTATGTCTCTTTTCTTCTCTGTTGTTCTTATCTTTAGTCTTCGTTCAAGAGTCAACGTATCATCTCTTCATTCCCCTTCTGTGTTTTCCAGGGGTCGTAATTTATGGTGTTTTTTTTTGTTTTGTTTTGTTTTTCTGGTGTATCTGTTGTGATACCTTTTCGTGTCACTTCAGGATTATCTGAAAGACAGAAATGTATATAATTTTTTTCCGATTTTGGAAAGCGACTTTTATATATTTTTGTTGTTTATGCGAACTGATGTATTCATGATTTGTGTATATGATTTTGACTATCTTTGGTGTCACCTTTTATCCTTTGCCTTCGAAGATTTTTCTAGACCTTTTTTGTATTTAATTATGTTCACGTGAATGAAGTTGTCATGTCATGAAGTGTGTACATTCCTAAACATTATGCATTCCCAAAAGAAGTGCATTTGTTTGAGTACGTGGATATTATAGTCATCACCAGCATCACACCATCACCAATACCACACCATCTTCATCATCAACATCATCATCATCATCATCACCATCATAATCATCATCATCATCATCATCATTACCATCACCATCATTCTCAATATAAATGCGTTGAACATTGCATTGTGATATTTCATTTTTGATCATGTTCCTAATTAAACTCTTCTCAATGTGACCCAGCACTCTTTATATGTGAATTGTCTGACAGACAGTTTAACATTATCCTATGATTTCGCATTATATATATGAATCACCCATCCACTGTACTAATCACTAAGCACCTCTAACTGTTGTAGGTTAGAGAAGATTTAGCGATGGATGGAATAGAGTTACTTTTGTGACTGGCAATATGGCAATCCATTATTCTTTCTCTCGCCAGATTTATCTCGGATGTTAAATAATAAACAACTAAATAAATGAAGTAGATAAATGATTAAATGATTAAATAAACATGTGCATTTTAGTCGTCTATGGAAAGCCAGGAATCTGTCGTCACGCGCTTGTATTTATATCGTAAACGTGTAAGGTATTCAGAGCAGGGGACGAATATCGAAGTCGAGAATGCATGTTTTACACTCGCCCTGCATTGCTGTTGGTGTTTCGTGGAGAGAAAGGCATTATTTATCCGCGAAGAGATTGTGGTGTAATATATAATAATAAAAATTATTGTTTAGTTGTTCATAATTTTGCCTCGTTATAAAAAAAAGGTAAATTGAAATATTACTCTATCGCATCTAATGGCATTTAAGACGCTTTTTTCCCAAATAAAGGGGCTTAAAAAAAATTCCCAGCTGAAAAGGGAATATATCTGATATGGAGATTCGTGCGGCTATAGAGGGTCGACAGTACGTTTATTAAAAATTTTGTTAATTTAATCCGTCATCTATAACATGATCTTCGGTATATTAATGCACTCCATCTCATGATGATAGTACACTAAAACGAAGATATCGATGTATATGTTATAAATGAAAGCTTAAATGAACAAAATGTTTAATAAATGCAATTATGTCTGAGACCCGCTTTCGACGCTCATGCCTTTATGTACCCATGCGTCTCCTATGCCGTCAAATTCCTTAATTCACTCTGAACAGCTCCTCTTGTTCTTCCGCGCGAGATATAGTGTGAAGTGAATTACTCAACATATTTTCGTTCTATGTGGTCCTAGAACACCCTCTAGCCTACAATTTGAACGATGGTGCCAGTATCAAGAGCTTTACATATTTTTCTATACACAGTGATTATATTGTAATAGCTTTTTTTGTATAAAGTGTGATATTTTATTATTTGTTTAATAAATGTTAAGTCAGTTC